TAAGCATTTTAGATATGCCTACTGTGCTACCACTCATAGCAGACAGGGGACATCAATCAGTGATAATATGACCATTCACGAATGGAACAAAGATTATTTAGTTTGTAGGGAATGGTTGTGGACGAGTATCACACGAGCGAGGGATTTTAACAATGTCTATTTTTACAAGAACAAAGAGGGAGATGAAGATATGTTTAAGAGTTTGGTAATCAACTATTTTAAAAACAAAGTTGAAGGATATAAACAGCAAGATAGAGTAGCAACAAGAGAATTAGACGAAGAGCAATACATTGACGAAAACTGGTGCTTAAAATACTTCAAATCCTGTTGCCAAAACTGCGGAATTAAATTTAATCTAGATACAAGAGGAGGAAAGATAAGTTCTAACTTCACTGCTCAACGTTGTGATAATGAGTTATGCCACACAGTTGAAAACTGCACCGCCTTCTGTGTCTATTGCAATTGTAGTGCGCCATAAATAATGTTGAAAATGAGTTTTTCAAAATTATTGTATTGACTTAATTAATGAGTTCAACACAAGAAATTATTAAGAGTGTATAGTGTGATAGAAGCGGTTATGGTTCAAAACAAACAACCCTCAAGGATGCTAAGCAAAAAGATAGTAGTATTACAATGAACGATATTAATGAATTCTTTAGTAAGAATGTAGAAGAAAAAATAAAGATGAGAGGCGAAAATAGTTTTATTGCTCCGCATAGTTTCTGGGAATTTCAAGTTGATATGTTTATCATTTCTAAAAATGATTTGGAAAATCAAACATTTAGAATTGGAATGATATGCATTGATATCTTTAGCAAATATATGCATATCGTGCCAATTAAATCCAAGACACCGCCAGACATTTTAGCAGGAATGATGGAGAATATCAATAAGATGGGTGGCAAACCGAAATTAAGTTATACCGACGAGGAAGGCAGTTTTTTAAATCAATCTGTCTTAGATTATTTGAAGGAGAAAATTGAATTACACAGAACTAGAGGTCATCCAGCATTTGCGGAGCGTGGAATTCAGACTTTTAAAGACCAACTGTTTAAACGAGTTGAAGCGGACAAGAAAAATGGAAAGCAGAATCTCCAATGGACGGATTATACTTTTGAAATATTATTAACTTACAATAATAAGAATATTCATTCCGCAACTAAATTTACACCGAAGGACGCAAGAATGAAAAAGAATGAATTTGAAGTAAAAATGAATATTACAATGCAAGCAAAGAAAACTAGAATGTATCCAGAATTAGACGTAGGAAGTAATGTAAAAATAATGAGGAAGAAAGGCATAAGCGAAAAGGCACACACCAGTCATTGGTTAAAAGAAGTATTTAAAGTAAAATCAATTGACAGTAAATTAGGACAATCTTACTTTCATTTGGAAGGAAAAACTAATCCTTATTTGAGACACGAATTATTAAAAGTTTAATATTAAACGAAATACAGTTAAAGAAAAAACGCCTTATAGTATTAGTGAAATGTTGTTTAACTATAACAAGTGCGAATGCTGTAGATGCAAAATGAATGATTTGAGTTTAACCTTACATCATATACTACCAGCAAATGTATGTAATAAAATAAGTGAATATAATGTATATTGCAATCAATGCTGTATAACAAGAGACCTTGAAACAGTTTTTCTTGAAGAACATAAGGATAAGGGATATACAAAGTTTCAATTACAATTAAAATTCTTTATGCGACACCAAGCAAGATTTCCTATACACTTTTACCATAAGATTTCCAGAAAGTCATTTGAAAAAGAAATTGATGAATTCTTTAGTAATATAGATTTAATTAGGAGGTTTGGAGGAACAAACGCAATTAAACCATATAAAGCATTTGTCAAAAAGTACCGATATTTGTTTGAATGGATTGATTGGCATTTATTAAGCAAATATAAAATAAACGAAGTCTTGAATGAATTTAGAATAACTAAATATCATGTATGGCATTACTACAACACTAAACATAAAGTATGTCTATTAGTTAATTTGTTTTTCTGGGAATAGATTTATTCAATAATTGGAAAAGACAATATCAAATATATATAGACATTGGTGATATTGATAAATATGTAGATTACATATTTGAAGACATATTGCCAGACTATTATTTTAACCCATAAACCTTACAATAAAAAACATTGTAAGATTTATGATTTCAAAATGACTTGAAGAAATAATAACTTAATATATTATAGTGAAATAATGATACAGATAGTGAATATAGTGATACAGTCGGTATCAATGCTAAAAATATATTGAAAAAAAGTTTATGAGTTATAAATGTAAAGACTGTGAAATGCTAAAATTACCAATTGAACGGGGTTTTGCAAATGGCGTTTGTAGTAATATTTGTCAATATATGATATGCAATAATTGCAATATAATTATAAAAACAATGATGGTATGAATAACAAAGATATTGATATTATAAATAATGAAACTCTTGATGATGATTTAGAAATATTTGTGTTTATTGAAATGAATAATTTCTTAACTATAGAAGGGTTTGATAGTTTATTAGAATGTGACGACGAAGGATATAATAATGAAATTATTGTTAAGTATTATTGTATGGTAAAAAGATTATACAATATGTCTTTTAATATTAAACGTTTAAACTATGTTGTATTGTTTAATTTTTTAAATGAGTCTTTAAATGATGAGTATAGAATTGACGAACTTAGATATACAATAACACATGCAATTAGAACAATGGGGTTGTTTAGAACAAAAATAGGAAGTAATATTTATAATGAAACACCATGTGATAAAATAATAGAAAGACTTAAATTAATAATTTAGTTTTAGGCGAAATAGTCCTAAAGAAAAAAACACCTTATATTAATAGTGAAGAAATGAACGGTATTGAAATCAATAAGTATATTAATAAGAACTGCTATGACTGTTGCCACTTTAAAAAAGAAAATATGCAGTTGTATAAATTAAATTTACCTAATGGAATAGTTAATAATATTATTGATTGTGCTTTGGGTAAAGAAGATGCATGTAACATTTGTCAGGAATGGAGAAATAATCAAGAATTAATCAGATATCATTTAAATCTGGAGAGAGAAAGTGATAGAAATATTGGAGATGAAATTTTGATATTTTTAACTGTGTATGAAAGACCACCTTATAGTTATGTTAGAATATTTCTCAAAATCGGTAAGAAAAAGTATGAAATAATTAACCACATATTATAGATGTTGTTGCATCGTAGGAGAGACGGGTCTGATTTAAAAGGAGACATTAAATCATATATTGAAAGCAACAAGTTTAATGTAAAAAAATACCGTGAGAGATATTCATATTATTATTAACAATTATGTATGAAAGACGTTAGATATATACACAACTTAGTAGTCATCAATTAAATTATTATCCTGAACTTAAATTATAAATTACACCATAAACCTTACAATAAAAACATTGTAAGATTTATGTTTTGAAATTATGGGGATTTTGGGATTTGGGATTTTGGAAAAAACATTTTGGGAATTTGGGATTTTGGAAGAAATCTATTTTGGGAATTTGGGATTTTGGAAAAACATATTTTTGGAATTTTGGATTTTGGAGAAACACAATGGAATTTTGGATTTTGGAAAAATATATTTTGGGAATTTGGGATTTTGGGATTTAGGTGGTAAAATTGGTTGAGGTGATGTGCCCCTGTTGGTTAATATGGTTGAAGTGGTTGACTGAGGGGATTTTATCTGAACTGGGGCATGCCCTTTGGTAGGTCTTAGACCCCTTACTCCCCAAAAGCCATCCTCATGAAGTACTTGGACACTCTGGGTATGGTTCTAACCTACCTTGGTGCTGAGGGAATGACCCAGGGTGCGGGGAATGAACCGGAAAGGGGAGTCCCGAATAAAGGAAACCATAGGATGGATAGTAGTTGTTGTTTTGGGGGCCCTTCCAACTCTTTCCCAGCTGAGAACCAGCAAGCAAAGGCCACGTTTTGTGTTGTTGATGTGGCTTTTCGTCCAGGGTCGGCAGGAGGGTAGGTCAGATGTTGTTCTGCAGAAAGCCACTGCCAGGTGCGGGAATTTCCGAAGGGGAACTGGGCGAATCTGGTCTTGGGTGTTTTGTTGGTAGGAAACGGCGCATGGCTTGCGGGTGGCCTGTGCCTTACAAGCTGTCCATAAAAACTGCAAACCAACCAACCAACCAACAAATGGCGAGTGTGCCTACAGTCCATAGGGACTGCAAACCAACCAGCCAACAAATGGCGAGTTAAGGAGACCATCCCAATCTCTCGAAATCTGAGCACCAGCAAGTTCCGTTCCAAAGCGATCTGCGAAAAAAACGATCGATCCATCTCAGGTCGCACGGGGCGACATGTCTGGGGTTCACAATGACTCAGGAATAGTTGCTATCCGCGCAATTTGGCGAACAAATCGGAACCTAAGGAGAACCAAGTCAACAAAAAAGAAGGCCTACCCTGGTGAATATCATGTGATGTACTTTTTGGGAGGACTTGCAAGAATGGCCTCGGTTCGAAGCCCCTTCAACGCCTTCTGAGGCTGAGAGTCCTGTCGGCTTTGGTCAGTCTGTGAATCGGCCGCCTTTGACGGAACCATCAAAACGACTTGCAATTGGCGATTTGAGTCTTCTCGTGTTGCAGTCCTTTGCGTGGAACACAAACATTGGGGCCCCTGGATGCTTTTCTTCCCTTGGTTCGTGGCATTTGAGTGTTTTTTTTACAAAAGCCTTGGCTTGCGTCGCAAGCTCACGATATGTTTGCATAGACACCACACACACGGTTCATCTTTTACACATGTACAGGAAAATGCGAAAACAATCATGTCCGGATGTTGATATTGAGCACCCTCGCCGCTCCTTTCATGGACCCTTCGCGTAGCAAAGATCGCTTTCGACTGGACACTCAGAGTTGCCTTGTGCTTTTCTTCCAGGGCGATCTGCTTGGATCGTTTCGTTTCGTACTCGAATCTCGCGAAAAGAAGCCTGAGGCTAGGGCAAAGGGCACGTCCAAGTTGTGGGAACACGGGCAAAGATCCTCCATCTTCTTGCCTGGCGACTTCTTCGTGGCCGAGGAATTCACTGTTCCCATGCTGCGAGTGAAATCGTGGCGTGCAAAGATTGGAAGGGTTTCAAAACAGGGGAAAGGTCAGGGGTCAATTTGTCTAGGGCTCTCCCCCACGAAGGGCACAACGCTGTTCCTCGTGTCGTTTTAAAACCCACCAACAAAGAAGAATGGCGCCAACACGAAAAGAGCAGATTGGCTATGTCCCACAGCGTTTTGGCTGAAAAGGCCCAAGCACAAGGTTCCCAATATTGATAGGATGGGGGGGCCCTCCAAAAGTGGCCTGATTCCCACTAAACCAAGAAACATGAAAATCAACTAGGCCTGCAACATTCTGGGGTCAACACTTTTTGGGCAACTCACCACATGTCGGGGTCTTTTGGAGGGTGCCCCTTGTTTGGCTTTGCAGGAGTTAACTCCCCCCCCCAAACCCACCCCCAAAAACAAAACACAAGAAACGGTTGCACCATGTTCGCGGGTCCGAGGCCGTGCCAAGAATCACCGGGACCGGAAGCGCTGGGCCTTGCGGATCTGAGGAAAAGACGAGTCGAGTCAAAAACGTCACCGGTGGCCCTCCTTCGCTGACTCGCGACAGATTCTCACCGGGGTTCAGCCGAGGTTCAGAAAAAAGGAAAAAAAAAGAAAAAAAACGGCATGCAACAAATATCGTGCAACCTGAAATTGCAAGAAATCCGGTGTCTCTGACATGTTTCGAGCACGCTGCAATTCCGTGCCGATTCAAGTCACAAGCAACACCTGGTATCCAAAAAACCTTGCGAGAAATAAAACTCACTTCCTGAGTGGACCAGCCCCAAAAAGTCCAAGAACCTGCTATTTGCCACTCAAATGGTGCTCCCAAGAAGTAAATAGTCCAACTCGGGAAGTGCGAGAGGGGCAATTCTTGACATCCGACCGTTGGCAAATGGACTCGTCCTGACCTATTCGTCTTGAGGGACTGGATAAAGCAGCATGGGGATGGGCACTAAACTGGGCTGCCCAGATCCCCCGCTAAAAGTGAATTACTTTTAGCGGGTGAAATGGAAATCCCCACTAAACACCAAAACGCTAAAAAGCTAAGGAACCGGATGGCCTTCGGGAGCCACCAAGTAAATCAAACCTCGTCGTCCCGGAGCGAGAGCTTCAAGCCTTCAAGCCTTCAAGCGCTTTGGGCGCCTGTGAAGATGTCGATGGCCACAATGTGCGCTTTGGCGTGGCCGTGCTTCCCCGTCTTGGAAGTCGAAACCTCCACACACCTCGGAATCAATAACCAAACCCCTGCAAATCAACAGGAACAACCGGATGGCATGCGTTTTGGTAGGTAAGGAGGAATATTGTCCAGACGTAGCCTTAGACCAACTCCCAAGATCTGGCTCTTTGCTGGAGGGCATCCTTTGTGGGAGTTGGTTTGAAGGGAAACAAGGACACGTTGCTTGTTTTTGGGAGGTCGGAGGTCACTAGTTTGAGGCACCCCCGTAAGAGGATAAATGTGTCCTTGTCAGAATAGTTATTTGGGCCAGGACGCAAACAAGCGGTGCGATCGAGCCTCAACAAGTGTCTTACCCTGAACCGCAAGGTCTGAAACCTTGTCGAAAAGCATTCGGAAGATGGCTCTGAATGTGGGAGTCATGTCCGCCCATCACTTTTGAGGTGGTTCCCTAATTAAAATTAATGACCATATGGGAATGAACCTTTATTTTTTCCATTTGGAAAAAGCCGTTCCCTTATGACACGTATCGGGTTGTCTCGTCAAGAGTGGCTTCGGTGGTCCTTCAGGTTTCAAAAAAACAGTACCGTACCCAAAAAAAGAGGATCGTGTTCACTGAGAAGCAAGAACGGTAATCTAGGCCGGTCTTTAGGAAACCTTTTCCTGAATATCGAAAGCCCATGCTCAAATGTCTCTGCGAGGCATGCGAGGCAGATCCCCGCCGGATCTGATAGAATTGCAAGGAACCCTCCCTAAAGCCTCCATTTGCATACCCCCCCTGGACAAAAAACATGTCCAATAGTGATAGACTCCCTTAAAAACAGGGGAACGCACAACAGTAAGCAAATGGGAGCAAAGCAAAGCAAACAATTCTTTGCTTCCACATCGTTCCCCAAAACCAAAGGCGTTCAAGGAAAGACCACCACTCCCAGCAGGGAAACCCTTGCGAGGATATTGGGACGGCCTCAAAATCGAGAAAAACAAACTCTCTTCGTCGTGGTGTCCTTTCAGCTTCCAACAACACTGAAGTGGGGAATCCCTCTTTCGGGCATGCCTTGCCTGATGGTTTGGCAGTTTGCCTACCCACATATGGAGATTTGCGTTGGAGTTTCTATGGGCCCCTTAAAAGCATGTTACGGTATATTTAGAAGGGTCTCAACAGAACCTTTTGGGAAACGGCCACTAGTGGGGCAGCTATTGCTTGGGCCCACTTGTCTGCGCTCCTTTACCATTCTCTTGACAGTTGCCTTACTAACTTCGACGCTTGCCCGATGGTTTGGCCCGGGCACTTGCAGGGGCGGCCCTTGATCATGAGGTGGGAGCCCTTGCGAATCTCGCCCGCCTGGCGGGACGTCTCGGAACTCGGGACGATAACAAAAAGCAAGGACAGTGCGGCATGGCATGCTTGCGGAGAGCATGCAACTGGAAATCACTGCTTCCTTTTAACCCAATGTTGACATCGGATTCATAACCCCCTCCCTCTTATCAGAAGGTCCAGAAGGTCTTTTCCTCCTCAAATCAGACTGTGGAACTGAAATAATGGGGGAGGTCTGCCGTTGCATTGGGCAACACTACTTGTGAATTGGGCACTGCTACTTTTGAATTGGGAATGAGGATTCCCGAACTCCAGAAGGATTCCAAAAGGTACTTCGGTCCATGTTTCCATTTGATTCAGAATTGCTGGAGCCTCCTTTTGAATTTGACTTGATGTTTTAATTGCTTGATTTAGTATTGTTGGATTTGACTTTTCATTTGATTTAGTCTTGCCGGAGCCTCCTTTTGAAATGTTGACTTGATTTAGTATTGTGGGATTTGACTCTCAATGTGATCTAGTATTGCTGAAGCTTCCTGTTGAATTTGATTTGAGATTCCATGTATATGATTTAGTATTGTTAGATTTGAGTGTCCATTTGATTTAGTATTGCTCGAGATCAACAGTGGGTGCAGCCCAAAATGGGCCCAACTAATACCTTGGGGACCCGCATTGTTAACATGGGCTGGGCACTCATGTGGGGTACCTCACGTGACCTTCTCAAACCATTACTCTTTTTTAAAGGGATTCAAGCAATAATTTCACTTTCGGAAAGCTCAACCTTTTAAGAATTCGGGGAGTGCTGACTGATGCTTGTGCTGGCTTGGCACTGCTAGTGCAAACCTTTCAGCTTTCTTTGCTTTGGCATTCCAAAACAATTTGCAAAAAAAAAAAACGTAAAGGAAGCAGGGTGGAGCAGTATGAGCATGGACAGAAAGGGCAGCAGCGGCGTCACTGGGGGGATTTGAACTTTTTATTTGGGGTGGGGCATCCGTCGTGTTTGGGTTTGCTGTGGAGCCCTGTCTTTTAGCATGGGTCTTTTTCTGTGAAAACAAAAACAAACCCCGTCTTTTTCTGGGGGTTGATGCCATCGTTCTTTTCTTTTCACCGCCAGGTTCTTTCCAAAGACCGGATCCGGATTCCCTGGGTGTCCGGAGGATTTGGAAGACTCGGATCCTTGGAAAGAATGGACATGGAATTGGCCAAACCAGCCAGAAAGCCCAGAAGCCAGCCAGAAGCCAACCCCTAGACTTTTCATGATTTTCAGTTTCGACTTGTTAATTAAAAACACGGTGTCCTCGATAGGTTCATGCTGGCTAAATTCGATAGGTCATGACCATGCGCTTGGGGAATGGCCTGGGAAAAAGTGGCAAACTGAACGTAACCAACCTGAAACTTGCGGTGCTTGGGCGGAAGTTTCCCCACAAAAACCACCATTTGGGGTGAATTCGGTCGTGTGAGGTCGCCGAATTCACGAAGGTTGAACCCGACTAGGCTGGTCGCTACGCGAAGCCATGTTCAATCCTATGGCCAGTTGTATGGCCCCAGAGCCCAAGCGAGCTGATCAGACGAGGTCCCATGGGTCATGGGGCTCTGAGTCTTTTCTTATCTTTTTTATTTTCATTTTTTTATTTTGTTTTTTTTTTTTGGGGGGGGGTGGTCTAAAGGAAATTGTTCTTGTGTTTTTTTTTGGGGGGGTGGTATAAAAGAAAGCCCGCAGGCACAAGCTCGCCATACGGCCATGGAGTCAACATCCCATACCCCCCAGTGAACATCAACCAATCCAACCACTAAAATAGGTTCTAAAATGGGTCGTGCACCTACCCCAACATAGCACCATTGGTTTTGATCCACAGCCAATATTGAAGGCCGCGGACAGTTCTTTGGGTCACAGGCAGCAGCTGGGCTGAACACGGCGACCCACAAAAATGGACTCTGCCTGAAGGAATCGAAGCGGTTTTTCCTGGCGGTGTCCCTTTGGAACATAGAAAAGGTTGGTACCAACTCCCAAAAACACGAGCCGCCCAAACACGGCGAAGTTCAACAATCTTTATCAACAATTTGGGGCCGGGAAATTTGGAAGGGAAAAACCCTTCGGCATCTTTACCTGTCTGGGCTTCTCTTGTGGCCTGGTATGCGATAGCAACCTGAGCAATAAAAGCACAGCTAAGTGGAAACCCAACATCAACTTCATCCCCCGTACCTCAAGCACAGCCCAAGTGGAAACTCAGTAGCAAACCATCTCCCGTAGCTTTGCCCTCCACACAGCCAAGTGGAAACCAACTGCCAAACCATTTCCCGTCCCTTTGCCCTCGAAAGCGCTCCCACCGCTCGGTAAGCGCTCGGTAAGCGCTCCAGGCGGTGCGCCTGCATGGGGTAGGTGTGGGAGGCGCCAGCATCCGCGGACTCGAAGGTGTGGTCATCATCCGCCATGGCTTCGAGATGTCCTCAGGCAGGGCACTTCCCTTTTGGTACTACTTGTTGTCCGCACACGAACGAGTCGAAAGGAACTTTCTTGGGAACTGTTCACCCACCTCCCACGAAGTTTAAGCGGACATCTTCTATCTCTTGGTGACATGGCCCAGTCCTGGGGTCAACCAACCATGTCTTCAGATTCTGTTTCGTGTCGGCCAAGCAGCCAACCAGCAAACAAACAAAAAATCAGTCGCTGGCGATGCCGTCCCACAGCCTTCCGTTGGCTCCATCCCGCTTTGCACGCCGAGCTGCGAGGCAAAGCACGAGATCTGGGAATGCGCCCGCTTGACGGCCAAAGCTGCGGTTTTAAAACATAGGAGACTCAAGCGAGCTCCAGAACTGCGCAAAACAATTCGAGCTGGGGTACATCAATAACTACACAAATGGGTGTGGCTCTTTGACTGGGACCCCACAAATTGCGGCTTCCTTTGATTCCCCTTTTAAACCCACAAAACAGGCACCATTGAAGAAGACACCCGCACGTCAGATCTGCTGAAATCCAAGCCGGCATTCCCCGTCCATCATCCAAAGGCAATTGACAGCAATTCATGTAATCTGAAAATATTGCCAAGACAACAAGTCGCAGGGATACCTTCCTTCTGTTCTGGCAATGTCCGGCACCCTTGTTTCCAGAAACCAAACAGGAGGAACATCTGACTTTTGAGAAAACAACAATGGTTGAAAGGAATGGTTGGAATCCTCCCATTGAGCCACAGTTGAGACCCCATAAAGGACTCATGCGTACATGCTCGCTGCTGCTTCTTGAACTTGGAGCTTTCCAAAGGAATTCCTAAGGGGTGCGGGTACACACCACAAACAGCTGATATTGGGTGATGAGGTTGGTTTACCGGAAAACCAGAACACTGCCTGCCTTTTGGTTTTTGGCCCCTATTTAGACTGCAACACACAGCCTCTAGCACAAAAGAAAACAAAAACAACCGGGATTCCCCATCCCACGCGTGCGCAACAAATAGTTAAATGCGGAATGGACCGGCCTCGCTGGAGCCATGGATCGTTCCTGTTGGGTTCCGGAAGTCTCGCTGGGCAACGCTACGCTCCTTTTGCTGCCACGCTCAGAGAACTAGGGTGAAATGTCCCATCTGCCTCGAGAGACTCGAGTGGAAAGCGCGGACAACTGTTCAAGAATTGCATCGTGCTCTGAAAATTCCGAGCTTGTCAGAATAGCCCGCATGCCGCGGCCCTGGGCATCAGGGCCTGTTGGCTGCAAACATTTCGCGACGTGGCGGGAACGCTCACACAGCTCTCCACACGCCCCTGCAATTGCAAAGACTCGCATCAACCTCCGACGGTGTTGCCCGGAAAAGATTGGAATCTTTCGCCGATTCGCTCCAGTACAGCGAATTCCCCCTACCGTACCTAGAGGGGGGCGCTCGCACGTGCCGTTTACACTTTGTTTGGCACGGCAAATGTAAAGGGCGAGCAGTTATGCTTCCATTCCTGCAACTTCCAGAAGTTGCCCAGCCCTGCGGTGAAATTTTGCTGTTTCTGTTCTGTACACCGCATCGGGATTAGGCCTTGCACAAGATGGCATTTGGCCTGGCCAGAGTGAAGTCATCGGCCGGCCGCGCACGAACCTGGCAAGCACCCGCGCATTAGAAAGCTGCCATTGCCGAACAGTTTCAAGCTGCCCTGCCACAACTTGCTGCAGCCACCAAACACTGGTCCAAAGGCACGCCATCTCTGACTGGATCTGTGGCCGATTCAAGTTCTCGGATGCCAACTGGCTCCAGTCTGGACGTTCCAAATTCAATGCGAAGTGCTGCCCAAGCAGAAACGCAACATGGTGCAGAAGCAGGTTTCCAGCCAAAATGATTCAAGTTAAGCATTTGTTGGGCTTAGATTCTCACAGTGCTTTGCAACGATGTTCGTGCGGTCAGCCAATGCTGTCCCATACAGGTGCCACTGGACACTGCGAAATTGGGTTGACTCAGACTGCACCGACGTGGCCTGTAAAATGTTGCTGATGCAGCCTGCTTGGGTGAAGGATTTGGACGGACTTCCGCTCTATGTCATGCTATCGCGAGTGGGCAAGCTGAGTGCCTACAAGTTGGGATGCTGGCGGAAAAGGCGCGAGAAAAGAAATAATGTTGGGCTGATTGATCGTCCAGACCGCGCGTGCTGTGAAATGTTTCAAAACAGGCAGGCTCACGTGTCGCAGCGTCCTTCGCCGTGCTTATGGCGACAAACAATATGTTCTATATGCCGTGGTGCGGTTGCACGCTGATGGAAAGGCCGGAAGGGCAGGAGTTTGTTTGTCCCTATGTCCACCGGTGGTACCTCTAGCCATGTTTGCTTGAGCCCAGGAAGGCAACCGCCACTCAAGTGTCACACCAGACATGACCCAACATGAAGACCCGTCGCAAACAGCCACCTGCAAGCCGCATTGAGGACATACGAAAGCTAAATGCTCTAGCGCACGTGATGCGCAGGCCGGATACCCACTATCGCCAAGCACATTGTGCCAGTTGGCATTCGTCGCTGCTTGTTACAGGTCACGTGCCCGCACTGCGCAGTGGTGAACCACTGCTCGAGCTGACAGCTCAGACAGCGCCTTGACATGTAGCGGGCACTTTGGGCATTCACGCGCGACAAAGCCAAATCGCCTGCGAACGCAAAGTGGCACAAGCGCTGAAGAGACGGGAGGGAGCCATGCGTTGGAAGCAACAGCCATGGGACATTGAAAGCACATCAGGATAAACAGTTTGCGCACATGATCCGGCGTTGCCAGGGCAACACAAGTGAAAACATAGCCTTTGGCTCCTGTGTGCTGCAAAAAAAAATGATCTGACGCAATGCCGCTGTTTGGCCGCTTCTGATTATCTCCCACTCCTGTACGCCACGAATCCTCGGCTACCTGAATGACAACAGGCAGGCTCATGCGTCGAAGCATCCTTGGTCGTACTTACGGTGACCTGTGCCCAAGCCACATGAAAGACAGGCCACGCAAATAACTTGAACTAAATTTCAAGGTGCGGTTGCATGCAAACGGCAAGGCTGGAAGGGCACAAGCTGAGGCACATGGCGTGCTCCAGTCAGCATGCCTTCTTGCACAACTGCTCATCTGCGTCGAGAACCAATCGGCTCTTCTAGCAAAAGTCGCAACACATACAAAACCCAACTTGAGCGCTTGAGCAGCGGAAGGCGCCGCCTCAACTTTGCTTCTGTAGGGGACAACTGTTGCTCCGGCTCACAGCTCAGGAACCGACCGCAACTTGGGAAAGCATCGATCCTAACATGGCAAGTCAGCACATTCAACCGCTGACAGCGGCGACTTGGGACTCCTGTGCAGTGGTCTCCTGGGCATCTGCTGGTTCGGGCGACAGATCAAAAACCACGTGGCCTCTGCGCACCTCTGCGGGCGTTTGGTGGTCAGCAAGCGTGGCTTGCCCAAAGCCAGCACCCAGCAAACAATGTTGGATACCACATTCAAGCCATCGAAAACACAACCAGCGGCCGGCTAACCCCCTCTAGCAACAAGCTGAATGTGGCAGTCAAGCACGCTGGACACTCGTTGGGCACTTGTGGGGCAACGCGCTGACTACCAATCAAACAGCCCCCAACGCCTGGCTGTCTGCCCAAGAGCCAATCTACCGAACTTGACAACGCCAAAGCAGTCTTTTGCGTGAGCAAGTCTGCGGGCTAGCAATGTTCAAACCGTGCGAAGGAGAGAGCCATACGTTGGAAGAAAAGTCATGGGACATTGAAAGCACATCATGGTAAATAGTTTGCGAACATGATCCGGCGTTGCCAGGGCAACACAAGTGAAAACACGGCCTTGGGCTCCCGTGTGCTGCTTAAAACCACCTGATCTGACGCAATGCCGCTTTTCGGTCGAATCTGATCATCTCCCGCTCCTGTACGCCACGAATCCTCAGCTACCTGAACTAAATTTCGGGGTGTTGCATGCAAATGGCAAGTCCGGAAAGGCACAAGCCGAGGCACATGGCGTGCTCCAGTCAGCATGCCTTCTTGCACAACTGCTCATTTGCTTCGAGAACCAGTCTAGACAAAGTCGCGTCCATCTTGGCTCAGTTTAAGCAACAAATGCAAAACACAACTTGAGCGATTGCACAGTGCAAGACGTCGCCTGAACTTTGCTTTTGTAGGGGACAACTGTTGCTCCGGCTCACAGCTCAGGAACCGACCGCAACTTGGGAAAGCATCGCGCCTGACATGGCAAGTCAGCTCACTTCACCAAAACAAAACAGAACCTTTATACTCACACAAAGGAAGGCACCCGCACTTCGCATAGCGCAGGCACTGACAGCGGCGACTTGGGACTCCGTGTGCAGTGGTCTCTTGGGGATCTGCTGGTTCGGGCGAGAAATTCAAACAAACACGTAGCCTCTGCGCATCTCTGTGCCCGCAGAGCGCACCAAGCAAGCTTCAGTTTGTCAGGCCGTCTCTGAATGGGATGCCAACTGGCTCCAGTCTGGGCGTTCCAAATTCAATGTGAAGTGCTTCCCAAGCAGAAACGCAACATGGTTCAGAACCAGGTTTGCAGCCAACATGGTTCAAGTTAAGCATGGGTTGGGCTTAGGTTCTCACAGTTGTTTGCAAAGATGTTCATGCGGTCAGTTAATGCTTCCAATACTGCACCGACGTGGCCTGTGAGTTTTGTTGATGCAGCCTGCTTGGGTGAAGGATTTGGACGGATTTGCGCCCCCTATGTCATGCTATCGCGAGTGGGCAAGCTGAGCGCCTAGAAGTTGGGATGCTGGCGGAAAAAGCGCAAGAAAAGGAAGCTTGTTGGGCTGATCGATCGTCCAGACCACGCGTGCTGTGAGACGATTCTATGCCAGCGCAGCAGCCATGAAAGCATTTCAAGAGCAGTCAGACGCAACTTCCTCAAAAATGGCAGTGAAAGAAAAGCTGCCGCCTCAAAAATAATGCCCCTCGAAGCTGCCGCCTCTTGTATATGACAGCCGCGGCTGTCTGCCGAAACTAATTTGCCTACACAACAACTTGCGACGGGCAAAATGCCCTCGTAGCCCTCATCCTCTGGCTATCCTCATCAACACAGGTAGCCCATGGGGTGGCTCGACGCTCAACCGCCCCAGAGGGATCACGTGGGGTTGGCAGACCGTGCTTGGCACGTGGGGTGCTTCTGTGTAACCAACGTCTACCTGCAAGCCGCGAGGATATGGTGGTTGTTCTAAATTCCTTTGTCTCGAAACGGCCATTCTTCGCGAATAAAAAAGTTACTTTCGCGAATCTTTCGCGGATTCATCGCCGCGCCCTTTTCCTTGCTCAAGTCAGAAAATCGCTGATCTTAAGTGCCAGCGTAGTGCGCGAAATTCGATTCCCCAACTCCAGCTGTAAAGTCGCAACTTTCATCACAGGGGTATTACATGACATGCACGGGCTGGAAAGACGCAGCTTTGCGTAAGCCGTGCAGCTCCAGCTTAAAGTCGCAACTTTCCAGTAGCAAGCTGGTATACTGACTAGCGCGGCGCTCAGAAAGTACCTCCCCCTTACAATCGAAGCCGCTTTCGCGCGGGCTTTCGCGGATCTTTCACGGAACTTTCGCGAAAAACCACCCACGACAGGCACACATACACAGGCTTGGGGCACTAACCAGCCAAGCAGGGTATCAAACTGTAGCCTCACCAGGCTTTTTCAGCGCAAAATGAACAAAGTGTTGTAATCAGCGCCGAAGGAAGGCTCAGCAGCAAAAATGAATGGTTTCACATATCATTGATTTAAAAGACACAGTTACGCAAAACTTTCGCGAGAAAAAAAGTTACTTTCGCAACTCCATCGCGAATCTTTCGCGGAGCTACCTCAACCAACACCGATGGTCACCGAATACTAAATTCCTTACAAGGACCTTTAGAACGACTCCCATATATACCCAAGCTAGATGCTCTGGCAGCATACGCTCATCATGTCCGCGGCCCAGGTCCATTGTGAACATCTTGTCACCGCCTGCCGGTCACGGACTCGCAAGAAGAGCCCTGAACCACACACCGGTGCGGGCGCTTTGGGCAGCTCAAAGCCTAAGCATCGGCACCCGCAAAGCAAACAAATCTACCGGCGCGCACCCAAACCTGAAAGCGTCAGAAGCAGAAGGCATGGGACATTGCAAATCCGGCGTTGCCAGGGCAGCAAAGGTTGCACGCTGATGGAAAGGCAGGAGAGGCAGGAGCTTGTTTGTTCGTATGTCCACCTCTAGACATGCTTGCTTGAGCGGGGGAAAACAACCGCCACTCAAGTGACACACCAGACATGAACCAACACGAAGACCCGTCGCAGACAGCTATCTGCAAGCCGCATTGAGGACATACGAAACCTAAACGCTCTGGTGCACGTGCACCTTGATGCGCAGGGCGGATATCCACTAACGCCAAGCACATGCCAGCTAACATTCGTCGCTCCTTGTTACAGGTCAACCGCCCGCAATGTGCCGTGGTGAACCACTGCTCGAGCTGACAGTTCAGACAACGTCTTGAGATGTAGCGGGCACTTTACGCATTCACGCGCGACAAAGCCCAATCGCCTGCGCGCGCAAAGTGGGACAACCACTGAAGAGCCGGGAGGGAGCCATGCGTTGAAAGCAACAGCCATGGGACATTGAAAGCACATCAGGGTAAACAGTCTGCGAACATGATCCGGCGTTGCCAGGGCAACACAAGTGAAAACATAGCCTTTGGCTCCTGTGTGCTGCAACCCCACCTGATCTGACGCAATGCCGCTGTTTGGCCGCTTCTGATTATCTCCCACTCCTGTACGCCACGAATCCTCGGCTACCTGAATGACAACAGGCAGGCTCATGCGTCGAAGCATCCTTGGTCGTACTTACGGTGACCTGTGCCCAAGCCACATTAACTAAATTCCTGGGTGCGGTTGCATGCAAACGGCAAGGCTCGAAGGGCACAGGCTGAGGCACATGGCGTGCTCCAGTCAGCATGCCTTCTTGCACAACTGCTCATCTGCGTCGAGAACCAGTCGGCTCTTCTAGCCATAGTCGCGTCCAACTTGGCAGCTCAGTTCCAGCAACACATGCAAAACACAACTTGAGCGCTTGAACAGCGCAAGCCGCCGCCTGAACTTTGCTTCTGTAGGGGACAACTGTTGCTCCGGCTCACAGCTCAAGAACCGACAGCAGCAACTTGGGCAAGCCAGCTCACTTCACCAAGACGAAACAGAACCTGTGTGCTCGCACAAAGGAAGGCACCCGCAAATCGCATAGCGCAGGCACAAACAGCGGCGACTTGGGACTCCAGTGCAGTGGTCTCTTGGGGGTCTGCTGGTTCGGCGACAAATCTCCAAAAACAAGTAGCCTCTGCACATCTCTGCACCCGCAGAGCTGTGCAGGCAAGCTTCAGTTTGCTGTTCAGCAAGCGTGGCTTGCCCAAAGCCAGCACCCAGCAAACAATGTTGGATACCACATTCAAGCCATCGAAAACACAACCAGCGGCGGGCTAACCCTCTCTAGCAACAAGCTGCATGTGGCAGTCAAGCATGCTGAACAATCGTTAGGAATTGTGGGGCATCGCGGTGGCTACCTAGCAAAAAACTCCCAAGCGACAATTCATCGAACTTGACAACGCCAATGCAGTCTTTTGCGTGAGCAAGTCTGCGTGCTAGCAACGTTCAAAACGTGCGAAAGAGAGAGCCATACGTTGGAAGCAACAGCCATGGGAGATTGAAAGCACATCAGGGTAAACAGTCTGCGCACATGATCTGGTCTTGCCAGGGCAACACAAGTGAAAACATGGCCTTTGGCTCCCGTTTGCTGCAAAACGACCTGATCTGACGCAATGCCGCTGTTTGGCCGCTTCTGATTATCTCCCACTTCTGTACGCCACGAATCCTCTGCTACCTGAATGCCAACAGGCAGGCTCACGTGTCGAAGCAGCCTTGGCCATACTTACGCTGTGCCCAAGCCACGTGAAAGACAGGCCAAGCAAATAACTTGAACAACATTTCGGGGCGCGGTTGCATGCAAATGGCAAGGCTGGAAAGGCACAAGCTGAGGCACATGGCGTGCTCCAGTCAGCATGCCTTCTTGCACAACTGCTCATCTGCGTCGAGAACCAGTCGGCTCTTCTAGCCAAAGTCGCGTCCAACTTGGCAGCTCAGTTCAAGCCATACATGCAAAACACAACTTGAGCGCTTGAACAGCGCAAGCCGCCGCCTGAACTTTGCTTCTGTAGGGGACAACTGTTGCTCCGGCTCACAGCTCAAGAACCGACAGCAGCAACTTGGGCAAGCCAGCTCACTTCACCAAGACGAAACAGAACCTGTGTGCTCGCACAAAGGAAGGCACCCGCAAATCGCATAGCGCAGGCACAAACAGCGGCGACTTGGGACTCCAGTGCAGTGGTCTCTTGGGGGTCTGCTGGTTCGGGCGACAAATCCCCAAAAACAAGTAGCCTCTGCACATCTCTGCACCCGCAGAGCTGTTCAGGCAAGCTTCAGTTTGCTGTTCAGCAAGCGTGGCTTGCCCAAAGCCAGCACCCAGCAAACAATGTTGGATACCACATTCAAGCCATCGAAAACACAACCAGCGGCGGGCTAACCCTCTCTAGCAACAAGCTGCATGTGGCAGTCAAGCATGCTGAACAATCGTTAGGAACTTGTGGGGCATCGCGGTGACTACCTAGCAAAAAACTCCCAAGCGACAATTCATCGAACTTGACAACGCCAATGCAGTCTTTTGCGTGAGCAAGTCTGCGGGCTAGCAACGTTCAAAATGTGCGAAAGAGAGAGCCATACGTTGGAAGCAACAGCCATGGGACATTGAAAGCACATCAGGGTAAACAGTCTGCGAGCATGATCTGGTGTTGCCAGGGCAACACAAGTGAAAACACGGCCTTTGGCTCCCGTTTGCTGCAAAACGACCTGATCTGACGCAATGCCGCTGTTTGGCCGCTTCTGATTATCTCCCACTTCTGTACGCCACGAATCCTCTGCTACCTGAATGCCAACAGGCAGGCTCACGTGTCGAAGCAGCCTTGGCCATACTTACGCTGTGCCCAAGCCACGTGAAAGACAGGCCAAGCAAATAACTTGAACAACATTTCGGGGCGCGGTTGCATGCAAATGGCAAGGCCACACATGGCGTGCTCCAGTCAGCATGCCTTCTTGCACAACTGCTCATCTGCGTCGAGAACCAGTCGGCTCTTCTAGCCAAAGTCGCGTCCAACTTGGCAGCTCAGTTCAAGCAACACATGCAAAACACAACTTGAGCGCTTGAACAGCGCAAGCCGCCGCCTGAACTTTGCTTCTGTAGGGGACAACTGTTGCTCCGGCTCACAGCTCAGGAAATGACAGCAACTTGGGAAAGCATCGCGTCTAAAATGGCAAGTCAGCTCACTTCACCAAGACGAAACAGAACCTGTGTGCTCGCACAAGAAAGGCACTTCGAATAGCGCAGGCACAAACAGCTGCGACTTGGGACTCCAGTGCAGCGGTCTCTTGGGGGTCTGCTGGTTCGGGCGACAAATCCCAAAAAACAAGTAGCCTCTGCGCATCTCTGCACCCCGCAGAGCTGTTCAGGCAAGCTTCAGTTTGCTGGTCAGCAAGCAAAGCCAGCACCCAGCAACCGATGTTGGATACTACAAGGTGAAGAAAATATAACAAGCGGCCGACCAACTCTCTCTAGTAACAAGCTGAATGTGGCCATCAAGCATGCTGGACACCCGTTGGACACTTGTGGGGCAACGCGGTGACTACCTAGCAAAAAACACCCAAGAGCCGCCTGAGCAAGTCTGCGGCCTAGCAATTCAAACCGCGCGAAAGAGAGAGCACATTGAAAGCACATCAGGGTAAACAGTCTGCGTGCATGATCCGGCATTGCCAGGGCAACAAAAGTGAAAACACGGCCTTTGGCTCCCGCGTGCTGCAAAACGACCTGATCTGACACAATGCCGCTTTTTGGCCGCTTATTCTCTCCGACTCTTGTACGCCACGAATCCTCTGATATCGGACAGGCGGATGTGTCGAAGCATCCTTGGCCGTACTTACGGTGACCGGTGCCCAAGCCACATGCAAGACAGGCCAAGCAAATAACTTGAACAAAATTTCGGGGCGCGGTTGCATGCAAATGGCAAGGCCGGAAAGGCACAGGCTGAGACACATGGCGTGCTCCAGTCAGCATGCCTTCTTGCACAACTGCTCATCTGCGTTCTTCTAGCCAAAGTCGCGTCCAACTTGGCAGCTCAGTTCAAGCAACACATGCAAAACACAACTTGAGCGCTTGAACAGCGCAAGGCGTCGCCTGAACTTTGCTTCTGTAGGGGACAACTGTTGCTCCAGCTCACAGCTCAGGAACAAACAGCAGCAACGAGGGACGCAGGCGCAGTGAGCATGTTCGGCTTGTTGGTCTTAAGTGACAAAAAACATGAACATGACATGCCAACACAACATGCCAACATCAGCTTGGCGGCCAGCAAGCGTGGCTTTTTCAGAGGGAGAAACTTCCAACGCCAAGAAAACACAACCAGCGGCCTGCCAACCCAATCTAGCAACAAGCTCAATGTGGCAGCCAAGCATGCTGCACACTTGATGGGCAACGATGAGACACCAAGCAACGGGCACTCTGGAGGCCCAAGCGCCACGCAACCGAATCCAACAATGTCAATGCTGTCATCTGCCGGAACAAGTCCGTGTGCGAGGCCCCTTGAAACCTGGCAAAAGCATGAGCAATGCGTTGGAAGCATCAGGTAGATGAACTTGAAAGCTCATCAAGGCAAACAAGCTGTCAAGCCAATATGGTGTTGCCAGGGCGACAGTGAAAACACGACCTCCGGCTTGGATTCTGATCCATGTACTGCAGCTGCTTGCTCGCTGCTTGTTCCCTGAACCTTGCGTGTCACAAATCCTCTGCTACTTGCATGACAAAGTGAAAACCCAAGTGTCGCCACAAACTTCGACGTGCTTCTATTCAGCGATCTGCACTCATAAGTCATCAACCACATGCCGGCCAAGAAACATGCTTTCGGTTTGTTGGTACTGTCGCATACTGGGGGCAAGGCTGGGTACGCAGTGCAGCACAGGTGCGCGCCAAGCAGAACACCTTGCTGTGCGTGTTCTCAGGTGAATTGACCACCAGTCAGAGTTTCTAGCAAGCATTGTGTCTATGATGGCAAGTCAGCTCGCACAACAAAGAGGAAGCAAAACTGGCCTGCTCGCGGCACCCGCAATTCGCATGGCGACTTGGGACTCCGGTGCACTGGTCTCTGGGCAACTTGCTGGTCTTGGGCGAGGAAACAACAAAACATGTAGCCTTTGCGCATCTCTGCGCCGGCAGAGCGCAGCAAGCAAGCTTCAGCTTGGCAGCCAACAAGCGTGGCTTTCCCACAGGGAGAAACAGCCAGCACCAAGTAACTAATCTTGGATACCGCGAGGCGAAGCAAACACAACCAGCGGCCTGCCAACCCTTTCTAGCAACAAGCTCAATGTGGCAGCCAAGCATGCTGCACACTCGATGGGCAACGATGAGACTACCAAGCAACGGGCACTCTGGAGGCCCAAGCGCCACGCAACCGAATCCAACAAAGTCAATGCTGTCATCTGCCGGAACAAGTCCGTGTGCGAGGCCCCTTGAAACCTGGCAAAAGCATGAGCAATGCGTTGGAAGCATCTAGATGAACTTGAAAGCTCATCAAGGCAAACAAGCTGTCAAGCCAATATGGTGTTGCTAGGGCGACAGTGAAAACACGACCTCCGGCTTGGATTCTGATCCATGTACTGCAGCTGCTTGCTCGCTGCTTGTTCCCTGAACCTTGCGTGTCACAAATCCTCTGCTACTTGCATGACAAAGTGAAAACCCAAGTGTCGCCACAAACTTCGACGTGCTTATATTCAGCGATCTGATCGATCTGCACTCATAAGTCATCAACCACATGCCGGCCAAGAAACATGCTTTCGGTTTTTTTGGTACTGTCGCATACTGGGGGCAAGGCTGGGTACGCAGTGCAGCACAGGTGCGCGCCAAGCAGAACACCTTGCTGTGCGTGTTCTCAGGTGAATTGACCACCAGTCGTCTATGATGGCAAGTCAGCTCGCACAACAAAGAGGAAGCAAAACTGGCGTGCCCGCACCGAGGAAGGCACCCGCACTTCGCATAGCTCAGTGATCCCATTGGGCCTTGCTCGTCTCGGGCGAGGAAGCTGCAAAACACGCCTCTGCGAATCTCGGGGCCCCGGCAGTGCTGAACATTCGCTGCCAACGGAACCCACCGCTGTCACTTGACTGAGCATACATTCGCTGCGACTGGGGCCACGGGCACAGAAAAACACCTGGGGCTCTTAACCTCGCCTTCATGACCAGTCGAACAGTGCAAACCGAACATGAGGACAACAGGCCTATGCTTTCTGCTGCGCACATCAGAACAAGAAGTGCGAGCAAACCTCCAAGTCCTGAGGGCACAACGGTGGAGTCACTGGCGACTAAAACGAGTCATGCATGCTGGCCGGGCGTTGTGACTACTTCCCTGCGCTCCTGGCGCTACTGGGAGCGGCAACCAAAATGAGCACATGGCGTGCAACAGTCTGCCCGCAACAGCCGCGCAGCCTGTCAGCCCAACCTCCTGGCTGCGCATGACAGGGCCAACACTTTGCGCCAATTGCCAGGGCCTGCGAAGCATCCGAGGGCGGATTCGCTGCGTGCTACACTTTAGCAATGCTCCAAAGCAAGCGAGGCCTGGGAAAGCCAGTCAGCTTTGGGGATCGCGTCCAACATGGCAGGTCAGTTCAAGCATCACTGAATAAAAAAATCTTGCTTGGGCAACGCAGTAACCAAGCAACCAACACCACCAGCCTTGACAGTCCAAGTGCCAACCGAAATCGATGTCAAAGTCTGCTTTAGAAAATGCGACCTTCTTGAGCCTGACAACAACCGGGCGGAACAGCAGCATCCTGACGGGTCGCAGGCCACTCGCAAGAGAAGCTGAGCACGAAAACTATCCCGACCGGCGTGGGCAAAGGCGGAGCCACATCTGATAGAGAGACGTGCCCCGCGAAAAATGACCACAGCACACTCAGAATTGTCAGCAAATTGCCACTCACTGGCTTGGCACTAGAGTGCAGAATCCTTTGGTGTACTTGTGGTCACCTGCGCAGCCGCATCATCAAAGACACACATTTTCCGTGTTGTATGCTGACGGCAAGGCTTTCCGCGGAGGCACAAGGCGCAGATGGTGTGTGCCAATGTCTCTTTGCTCAATGGCAGCTCAGGTCAAACAACACGAAATCGCAACTCGCGCGCGTGCGCAGCGAGCAAGGCACGTGCACTTCGATACAGCGCTACAGGAACACTGTTGATCCGTCCGACAGCTCAAACACGGACAGCGGGGGCTTGGGGCTCTTTACTTCTCACGCAATTAGAAGCTAAGCTTTTCTGGAGCCACACTCCGAGTTCGTACCTGCGAAGCTGCCTGTCAGGGCCGGAACTCCGACCCGACAGAGAATACCGTGAAGTTTTAGAAAATGCATAGAGCCATGCCCTAAACGTGTCATGAACTGCTGTCGTATCATTCTGCTTGCGCCACCAGCTTACGCCACCTTACGCAGGCGGAG